TATAAGATTATTACTGAAAAAACAGCATCTATATGGTGGTCAGTTATCTTCCCAGTGCCTAAAAATAACAGCTGTTTTTCAGAGACCTCAAACATAATGACTGTAATAATGTAGCTGAATAATTTATGTGCAAGAGAGATAAACTTTGACTATGGGGTCTGACACACTTCCCAGTCAAGGGTGGCAGAGTGGTTTCGGAAAATCAAAAAATGTGAGGGCATCTCCACGTAAATCACCCCCGACCTTTGCATGGTTTATGGACAGCATCGTGATTTTATGAGCAGGTGCTGAAATACTGTTTCGAAGAAAGTCGACCCCCCCAAAAAATTCCGGGGGGGGGGGGGGGGTTGGGGATAAGCTTTCAGCAGCAAATAGGGATGGTAGCCTGGAAAGTTCAAACCAGCTGAAAGAAAATTAGATGACAGACAAATCGAGAGATTTAAAACCCAGGATTGATGTCTCTGCTGTAACGAGTGAGCAGTGCATGAAAAACACAGAATTCCCCTCCAGAGGGAAAACTGTCTGTACTCTGAATTTTACTGGGGATTTATAGAGGAAGTCCATCAACTCTCCACAGATATTTAGTAAATATCCCAATATTGCCCCTATGCAGACATACACTAGTACAGCAACTGAGTAGAGGAATGTTTTGCCAGACAAGAACCTTGTTTAAATTGATGAGGCCAGCTTGGGCTATAAAAATGATATATGCTGACCCATAACATCAAGGTTTGGGTAGCTGTGCTCAGCTGGGGCTGAAGTTACACACTTCTGTATCCCATGACCTAAAATATTAAATCAACATGTATTTCATACATACCTTTCAATATGCTTATTTTAAGCATGTTCCTTTTAAATCTCATTATTCCCATTGAATTAGGTAGCGATTTACATTGGGACGGATTACCGAGCACGTTATATGCTAAAGATCCGTCTCGCACTTCCGAGTCGCTAAAAATGTTGATTGTTAGCATACTGCATGCAAATGAGCCTTTTTGGCACGCTTTGCTCTTGGTTTCCAATATTACCTGCCACACCTCCGTGATGTGAAAGCTGTATGATGAAATACCCACAAATGAATGCCTTTGATTCCTAATTCAGCCAGGGAGCGATTCAACACCCAAAAACAAAGATCAAAAAGTTTCTGCTTTTTTTTTTTTCTCTCTCTCCAGGCTCAATCACTGTGGCCTTTAATCCAAGGCAGGGAGTCTCTCCCAGCGGATGGGATCAAATGGAACAGAAGAGTCTGTCAAATAGGGCAGCGTCCGGGCGCCGGCAAATCGCCCTCAGTGCTTCACTTTTGAAAATGAAGACAGATACTTTCTAACACTGCCGGGAGCAAAGATGAGCTGAGCATGAAAGAGCTAGTATGGTTCAAAATTGTGACTGAATATTGTCCAGTCCCTGACACTGTCCCCTTGAGTGGGACTCAATTAATGCATTACCAACTCAAATCAAACTTTATTTATCAAATGCGCAGTACAGCAATACATCAGTAAATGCAGGGAATGATAAAAGTTCCCCAGAGAGCTCCCTAAATTAATAAGTATGATTAAGGATAATGAAAGATATATAGAAGTAGCAAAATAGAACAAAGTAAGAGAGAACAAGAAATGTGTAGAATGTGCAAGATGACCATACTAATAGCCTGATCAGCAATTGAGTAACCTTGCTATTTTTAAGCAGGGCCATATTTGATCTTGTGTCCAGCTGTGCAAATTGTGCAACATACCAGCCAGCTAAATAATGCAAACATCACAGATGGAGTATATGAAGGAGTTGCCGGTACCAGCTGGGGGACGGCGGCAAGCTAAAGACTCCCTTTGATCAAACGCGGACGTGGCGAGGTGCGGCGGCCCGAAGGAGAAGTGTGGAAACGGTCCGGCAGAAGAGCGCCTCGTCTCACGCTGTAATCACGCTGCTGCTGTTTCACTCTGCGCTCGTCAGTTTGACCTGCAGAGCAGGCCTTGTCATTCCCCCCGTAGGGACGGCTAAATGAAGCGTGACCGGAGAGGGCGGTCACGGCGCCACGTTCCCCTCCCAGAGCGGAGGAAGCACTGGGGTTCTCTGCAGGGCACAAAGTCACAGCTTTGCTGAATAATTCTTTGGGCTCGATATCGCATGTCCTGTGGAGGATCTAACCTTACTGTATGTTCTTCCATCCATTCATCTTCTAGCTGCTTGTCCAGTGCAGGTACAGCGGGGGCAGAACGGGGGCTTTATAATGGATGTCATACCATGAAAGCAGATCTCTCTGACACCTCACATTTATGCAGTGAGGGCTTGTTAACTTATAAACGTTTATGCTTTACATGTAAGAGGACCTCTGTTATATTATACTAGGGGGTCTTAACACAGTATTCACACCAATTGCACATTTTTGTCCCCATCAGGGCCCCCAACCACAACCACCACCACCCCCCCCCAACCAAAAAAAAGTCTGACCCAGCCCCCGGGTGCATCTATGTGTGTTTGTGCCTTAAAGGGGAGAGAGAGTGATATGTAAAAGGCAGCATTCCAGTGTACCTGTGCTCGTGCAGACAGCAAGCAAAACACAATTTCATTTTCAGAGGACCTGCTTGAGAACCCCAGCGACTGAGACGATGACGGCACATTCCGATCACGCGGAAGTATAAACAGGACATCCATCGGCATGCGGTCTGTCATGTTTACTGAAAACGTCTGGTACGTGACCTAGTGTGCATCACGTGGGAACGCGGCCGAGAGGGCGCAGATACGCACCCTTCGGAGAACGCGCTTCCGTGTCGACTGCGTAATGGTCTGTGCGCGGCTCCGCGGAGGTCAGGCAGAAACCGCCCACTAAGCAGCCCCTGGGACACACTAATGTGCCCTTGAAAAATCCCACACTGCAGCCCGTGAGTTAAGTACAACATTGTTTATTTTTGTTATAAAAATATCCCATCTTAAAGAGTGCTATTCAGCAATGCGTCACATCAAACGTAGGGATATTTGCAGTGAAAACGTTTTCCCATAAATGTTCCATGGAAAGAAATTATAAATAAAGGTGAACGAATAAAATGGCCGTTCCTCTTTTGCGCATGAGTAGGCTGTAGGATTTCACGTACTGCATCCGCTAACTCGGTGAGAATAACCCTTTTGTTTTGGAGAACGTTGAGGGAGCCATGAGGAACCAGAAAAGCATTAAACGTCCAGCGCTGGATGTTCAGGAGTCCGACTTTGCAGTTTCCCCCCCCCACTCACACAATAAATGACCATTGATTATTGGGATTCGATGGAGTAGGTTGCTAGTGAGTGAGGTCATTCTTGATGAACTTGCTTTACTAATGTAACCTATATGCGAGTCATTCAGTAAAAGGTATTCGACTTCTCTGACCTTTGTTCCAGCTGACCAGTGAAGCTGCTGTTCCGTGACGGCTTACCCACAATGCACAGCTATCAATTTCCCCCGGCAGCAGGACTGATAAAGAATGCGTTTCATCAAATTACAGGACCTGATTGGAGTTCCTTTTATTTTTAATCACGAGCCACTGAAGCCATTTGCCCTAAGGAAATAATTAATTCCCGCTCAATTAAACAGATATATGTATTTTGTTCCCTCCCAGCTGTGGGTATGCAAGCTTAGACAGGATCAGGCCAGAATCAGCCAAGCTGCAGACGTGAATCTCCTTTATCTGAAGTAGCAGGTTGCTTCCTGTTTGCGTACGTTTCCTGCGGACAGTAACACCAACAGAACGGCAAGTAACCGACAGCTGGAGAAAAAAAACAAAACCTGGAGTATATTTCAGTCGAGGCATTTTCCCCACTTAGATCTAGGTATGATAAATCCCACAGCTGAGCCTCAGTTCAAAGGGAAAGTGATGGTTTTCTTACGGCTAAGAAGCAGTCGAGCTGTATTAACACATGCAGCACTATACTGGAAGAAATCTATGCCGGATGGTTACGTTATCAGGCCGATAAACCAGTTTGCTAATCCCACAATTACGTAGGACGTTGCCAGCGTGTTGGAAAAAACTCTCTCTCCAAACCATAAATGAAACCCAATGCTTACATGCCTTAATTCTTTTGCATTCTTTGCCAAGATAATGAGGAAAATTCCCTCCGAAAGAGGTGGCCATAAACTCGCCAGATGTCACGGGAATGCGCATGTCTCTTTTTTTTCCCACGGAGAAGCAGCCTGCATTTTTGCTTTTGTTCGGGTCGGTGTAACGAGCACCTACGGCATGCCGCTTGCTAGAAGCAGCAAAGAAAAAACAGAAAAACAGGCAGCAATTATGGGCCATAAATGTTGTCCAAGACGACTCCACAAAACACTCAGGTTATAAAACCTGATACTCAGTTTCAATACCAGTTAGCCTGATGGCCAACACTAGCGCCAATGAATGATTTAAATGAAAATGAGAATTATGTTATGGCCGGACTACTGAACACATTTTTAAAATTCTTTGGATTCATCCATCAACCTTCCCCAGCTAAGTGTCACGGCGAGCCTTTGTAAATTTTTCCTAATTAATCAAATTGAGTAAAAATGGAGATGCTTTTATTTGACAGAAAATTCGGGAGTTTCACAATAAAATACAATGCGCTAAGGGAACGGACAGTGTTACCATTGTCTGGGAACTCCTAAAGGGACGCCACAGATAGTCGAAAAACGTCGCCTGGCCACAAACGCCTTCCCACAAGGCCTTTTCGTGAGGGAATTCTGACTGGAAATCCAATTACATGCCTCCACTATTTACAGTGACCCGGCAAATTTATGCAGCAATAAAAGCGCAGAGCGTGTCTGGAATCTGCTCCCCTTTCCCCTACAGAAAAGGTAACCGCATTTTCAGCGACGGGGGCCAGCCAGCCAATCCATTTCAGCCATAAATACGCCTTCCGCTTTAATCCCAGTCTCCGGAGGCGAGGTTAATGCTACACACAAGAAATCCTTGGTTGCGAATTACACTGCCAGCGCCAAAATGCTCCACCCTCCCCCCCCCCTCTAGTCAAATGTTTAAAATGAAAACAGTTCATCAGAATGTGAGAATTAAGCATTTTAATTTTGAAACCTGGGTAGGTGCACTGAATTGAGAACGACCTTATAAGGCAGGATGACACGTCAGTGTTAAATGAGCAGAAGTGAGAATGAAAGTAGTCACAGAGGACTGGTCATATGGGATGTGTGATTCAGGATGTATGGCAACGGTCACTGGAAGTGCAACAAAAATCCACATGCCCATCCTGATCAGTGTTACAGAATCAAAGAACATTCCAGAAAGAAAAAAAAAAAAAACGGAATATATTATTTATTGGTTAAAAAGGGACTAATCTTTCATTGCCCCAATGAGTTAAAAAATAATTCAAACAATAAATTAAGAACAACCAATTACACAGGAGGCACAATGACAATCAACACATTAACACTCTGACAGTTAATAAAAGAAAAATAATGTGAAATGTGAAAACTCACCATCTGTATCAACCACACAAGTCACATACTAAAGACATTGCTCTGATTTAGCACTCCTATTAAAGTGTATTTGTAGTCTTACAAGGAAAGCTTTAACTGTACATTAAATAAGAAACTAAGGTCAAATATCCCCACTGGACAAAAAGTCCAGGAGTTAAGTCTGACTCTGGACAAGGGCTGAACAAGTTTGATTAGCTAAAGCCGAAGCAGTGTTAGTTTGTTGCTGTTTGAGGATTTAAGAGTAAACCGCGCAGCAGGCGAGTCTACGCAGTTAGGATCGCAGTTTCCACGCTCTGCCACACCAAGCTCACTTACTCAATTCCAGAGTGCCCTTTAATTTAAGGCAAATTTGTGTTTAGTTTTTCACCGGAATGGAACATTGCGCTGGGATGCACTTCGGACTTTGGTTGCCATGTACCGTTTCCTGTTTACCTTCAAGCTTCTCCCCTCCAGGGGGCATCACCTCAACACAGCACCAACAGCTCAGATGGTCACTTGGGCCCTTCTTACCATGGATTCTGCGGTTATTCTAACTTCAAGTTTTAAATTTCACTTTGAGAGGTTCCTCAATCGGGATTAACAAAATATTAATGGAAAAATACTATCTGTCTGATCAGCAGACACATTTGTTTTAAAATAATCAGTTTTGTACCAGTTAGTAGACATACTGTAAAGTTAATTGCACTTTAGCACAGATGCTACATCGTCATCGTCTTCTTCTTTGGGCTAACACATATAGCCCGGTTTTAAAAAAAAAACAAAAACACAGAGATCCAAAGCTTCTCTAAAATGCCCCCCACAAAATGGAGATTGTTAGTGTGAATGTCACGTAATTCCTCACTCAACCCGCTTTTGTAAATAATTAATCAGCTTGCGAGGTACCTAAACGGTCTTTGGAGTAAAACCCTATCTTACTCAAACCCGTAAGATCCTTTAATTTCCCCAATCCCCATGTAACCGGATGATTGTTTTTGGCATAAAAAGCAGCTCTTTGGAGTAGGGTAGCTGTTCTTCTGTAGAGTAGCTGTTTGGCTTTGTGCCTCGACTGGGATACGGAGGCAGCGGCTTGTGTTTTCCAGTCCTTCTGAAGCCTGGTGTGACGTTTCCCCATCCTGAGAAGCAGCAGCAGCAGTTTCCTGATAACGTCGGCCGACACCGCAGGCGTCCAAAAGCACGGAGCTGGTGCGTTTTTCGGTACGCGGGCGAGACGAGTACCTCTTTCCCGCCTCCTCACCCGAAGCAGTAGTATTCATCGCCATCAACCCGGAGCTCCCTACGAAGGGCACGGTCCTTCAAGCCCATCTCCCCAGGGCCTCCGTCGGAGAGGAACTCCAGGTCTGAGGGTGAGGCGTGCTCGGGTGTGTCCTCCCCCAGGGTGTCCAGGTAGCTGCCCACAGAAATGGTGTCCAGACCGTCGCTGGTGTCCAGCAGGCTGCTGTAGCTGCCGTGCGGTGACGCGTCCGGGCTCTCCGACAAGCTGCACAGGCTGAACTGACTGCCGTCGTGGCTGGCCAACACTGCCTTCTCCTCCACGGCCCACCGGATCGACTCGATGCCCTCGTTGATGGCGAGTAGCTGCTGCATCAGCTTGCCATCGATGGCACGGAGGTGCGCCTGCGGAGGGGAGACAGAGGGGAGACTCTTCAGGGACGGCTGCAGGAACATCTTTCTGGCAAGGAAGACCCTACGCACCCCGAGGCACTGTGGGGAAACTTGTCAGTGGCAATGGCTGCATGAGGTGCGGCTTTTCAAAGCCCTAACCAGGGTATTCGTACTACAAGACATACGGTCTCCTAGTGCATCATATGCAAGACAGCTACTGAGATTAAGGTAACGAAAAAACCAAGGATAATGTGGCCCCATTTGGAAAGACTATCCACCCCAGCTCTACAGGATGCTGCACCCTAAACTACCATAACATGAAACTATAAGACCGCCCCCCCAAGTCTGATTATCTATTTGTTCTAACTTTGTTTAAAACTTTAACTGATACACAATCAACGGACAGTTTATTAGGTGCACCTGTTTTCCAATGCAAAAAGCCTGCTCTTCCAAACGGCCAATCACGTGGCTGCAACTGAACACGCACAGCACAGCGACTTAGCATACAACTAAGCATGATCCAAGAGGTTTCAGACCCGGCGTGGCCGTTGGTGACAGATGTGGTGGTTCCAGGCATCTCAGAAACAGCCGCTTTACCAGGATTTTGATACATTTCTCTGTCTGTTTTACAGAGAATGGAACGATGGGGGGAAAATAAAAACACATCCAGTCGATGGCATTTCTGTGGCCGAAAACACTCTGCTAATGAGAGAGGTCAGAGGAAAACGGCCGGACTGGAATGCCGTAAGTGCAAAAATAACAGCTCAGTACAACAACAGTGCACAGAGCGGCTCCTCTGAATGCTCAACTCATCTACCCTTGAAGTAGTTCTGGGGGCAAAAGTGGGTCCTAACCGGCACTAGCTAGGTGCAAAGTGTATATACAAACAATTTTAAGTTACACTAATTACATCGTGGTTTACTGTGACTAAAGGGTATAGAAGGAATACGCACACTTCAGTAGAAGGAGCGAAATTTTACGTTGTACTGTGGTCTTGTGGTCCAATACAATGGATCTTTAAATATACACCATATATACAAATATAAATACAGAGAAAACGAGAAAGACGCAGATGTGGAGGGGCACTTGAGCCTGGAGGGCTGGCACTTTACAAACCAAATCGACGGCTTACACAATAACTATCTGGCGAGCCAACAAATCGGCTAAAGCACATCGGCAGCAGCTCGGCCATTGTGAAGGTGGCGTCACTCCTAATTAAATCAACCAGAAGTTCTATTTCAACTTCGAGGTGTCAGGGTTGGGTGTAGGACCATAGCATTCCTTACGGTTTATAGGGTTAGCTACAATCAATGTGGATAAAATAGTATGGGAATGAAGGATGGTGAACTCCTATTTACAAATGCTCAATAAACAGTCAACCTGTCACTAAAATTCACTCAAATTTTAATTAAACACGTTCACACCAGCTTTTTCATTTCATTACCAGCTCATTAACACATCCGGAACTGTGACAAGATGACGGAAGCGTGGTAGTCCATATTTAAATTGACAAGATTATTAGCACTAAGCAACACTGAAGCACAGATGGAGAATCTGACTTTGGCTATAAGCTACGGAGAGTCTGACTTTGGCTATAAGCTACGGAGAGTCTGACTTTGGCTATAAGCTACGGAGAGTCTGACTTTTGCTATATGCTACGGAGAGTCTGACTTTGGCTATATGCTACATTGTACTATCAAGGTTTGAGTAGCGGTTCTAAAATGCTCTCCATTTAAGAAAAGGCGCAAAGTAGACGCAGGCTTCAAAACCGGCGTGGTCAGGCTGCTCCGATGACACCGGCCCCCCGTGTTTGCAGAGGACACAACCCTGACGTAAGTCTGTCATGGTGACACCTGAAACCCTGCACCTTCCGCCTGCCCAGCCTCAGGCACCCGCTAGATACCTGCAGACAGCTCATCCTGCATGACGACTACACATATGTCCATGTAGTGCAACAGCCTTTAGTCAGTGAGCAAAGGCAACGACCCAGAACAATTTGTATAATATGTGTAGAATGTTGTTTTATTTAATATCAGTACAATCTCTTCCATTAAGGCAGTGAAACATTTATGATGCAAAACAGGACAGACCATCCTAGCTCTCAGAATGTGGGGGGTATTTTAAGAGTGAATGTAGCAATTACAAACTTCAGCCAATTTTTCAGAAACTATAAAACAATTTGGAAAAAATGTTACAAAAAAAAAGTTTGCATGTGCAGGAACTGTATGTACAAAATGACCTTAATTTCCCCTGGGGGGGTTAATAAAATCTATGACCTCGACTGAGTCTCCAGAGACAAAAAGCGAAATGATCCAGATCACCAAGAACGTTTGTTGATCTGCCACTAAATTTTAGGGCGGACAAGCAACCCGACCAGCCAGCATATGACAGGGTCAGGTTAGCGTTCATCTGGCCAGTTTGGAAAGTTAACGGGGAAAGAGAACATGGGGATAGTCCGTCACGTTGCTCCAATACAAAACAAACAATGTCTTACTTTTGAAGGATGTGTCTCAGCGCGAATTTTAATTGCATTTTGCATTTATGCCAATTAAAGGGTAAACACTGACGGTCACGACACGTTACCAGCATGAAAAGTCTGCAACTCAACTCATAAAACAAACAGCTGACAGCTGTGGCTGCAGCGGCCAGACCGATTGGATCTCGGCGTCCTTAAAGAGCTAGGGGCTGCATGTCAGAAACTCACCATTTCTTGCTTTAAAAGCAGCATTTTGCTTTCCAGGCGCTGCAGATCACCGGAGTTTGCCTGCTTGACGGGATCGGCCGGCTTCCTCTCGTCTTTGGTTTTCTGGAAACCCTCCATGAGCGACTGGATCAGGATTTCGGGAACTTTGCGTCCTAACTTGCTCTCGATGTCTCTGAAGTCGGGCAGGACGTGATCTTCCTCCATTCTGCGGCCGGCTGAGCGTCTTCGCTACTGTAGCCTCGGCGCATCACCACCCCGCCCGTACTAAACGCGCTGCGCTCCCGATGCGCCCCTTTCTTTGTTAGCGAACGCGCATCCAAACCGATCTACACCCAGTCCCCAAATTTCCAGGGCAATACTATAAAATCGCAGAACGCCATGAGATATCCATAACAGATCGAATCGCTCTGGCTGAAGCAAACGAATAAAACAAAGATACAGAATGTCACGCCCTGAGCCAGCTGGATATTATGTATCTTATCCTGCCCCGCGAAGCCGCTTTAATGTCCAGAGCTTCCTAGTGGAAACTTTACACCCATCGGACAGGTGGATTAGATGGCTCCGCCTCTTTCCCGTAATACAACGAATAAAAGCACCCCTCGGTGTTCAATTGACGGACATCACGGCAAATTTTACTTTTGAAGTGCTATTCATTATCCGAAACTACACCAAGGGCGTCGCTAGGGCCGCTTTAATCCCCCCCAATAAACGTACACTAATTAGTTTAAATAGTGTGCTCTCATTCATTTCATTAACATCAGACCCCCCCCCCCAAGTAAAGGCTCTGCCCCGCATTTCACAAATCTCCAGTAACATTCCTACCGCACACATCGGGCTGTGATCCTTTATTGGGGTGTACATAGTGCTCATAGCTAAGACAGGACAAATATATACGTTTGGAACTAAATCGCACATCTTTTGTAAAATTAGACAATCACCCTGTTCTCATAAAACAATATACTGGGTGCACAACACCGCCAGACGCCGGAACCTATACTAGTCCATAGTAATCTTTTATAAATCACGAGAATCTGACAAGATCTTGTGCGGCATCTTCTTATGAGCGGGCTCGCCTAGGTTTGATTTTGTACTTCTTTATTTCTAATATTGCATATCCAGTTTGTAACAGCAAGCAATAATATGCTTTAATCAGTCCAAACAGTCATCCATTTAACGTATGCACTGTTTCTTTAAAAAGAAGTCGGAGACGCTTTTTCAAAGTCGGAGACGCTTTAACTTTGGATAATCGGAATGTCTAATCTGATAGAAAAGGGAGGCGGCTGCAGGAGGACGTGAGCATGGGCACGTAATTTCAATCGGTTGTTATCATGAAAAGACCCAATGGGGCCCATGATGGATACTTCTTTTTTTTTTTTTCATTTTCATTTTTACGCCCTCTGCTGGAAAAAGGAGGGGATGCGCAGGCTACACGCGTCATATAACGGATGGACGGTAGAAATGGTTTCCATTGCCCGTACAGCAGTGCGCAGAGTGTTGTGCAGGTTTCTTCCATGTACTCCAGTTTCACAATAGAAAAAATGCATCTTTGGCAAGCAGTATCACTAAATGGCCATAATATGTGGATGTATGCCCTGCCATCGAGTGTTACCTTGTCCAGGGTGCTTTGTACCCAGTGCTTTCTGTTACAGACGTCAGGCCCTGTACTGGATAAGCTGTTATGAACGATGGAAGGAAGCAGGGATATTTTGTGAAACTTTGGGGTGTGACATGGTTATTTCAGGGGGTGACACCCTCACCTCATCTGATTTGCCTGCACCCTGTATTTGTGGGGTTAGCGCGTCATCTGGGTTTCTTTCGGGTAATTTGGTTTCCCCCTGCATCCCAAAGACATACATTTAGGCTAATTGGTGTCTCGAATTTGCCCGCCATGGGTTGGCACCCCATGCTGGGTTATTCCCAGTCTTGCGCCAGTAGAATTTGGGATTGGCTCTGGACTCCTGTGACCCTGAATAGGACAAATGGGTACTGAATTTGGATGGATGGGTCTCTCAAATTGACCATGGTATGGCAGCGTGTTCTCCAGCCCCGTGTCCTATGCTATAAGGGATAGACTCCAAGCCCCCCCGTGAACCCGTCGTGGATAATCAGGTAGAAGGTGGATGGATGTTTCTCTACCTTGGGATTTGTTAGTGGCCCGAGAAGTGTGGCTTATAACATTTAAGAATGGACAAGACATCTTCAACTTCAGCGTTTATGTAATTTCAGTCAACTGTATTCCTTAAGTTAAAAATAAACGCAGTTAATAAAAAAAAACAACAACTTTGCATTGCTTCTCCGCAGGTTTACAGAAAACAGGTTATAAAATCATACTGTATACATTTTTTGGATACTTTTTTTGGCGTTAATGTCTATTCATATGATTACTCATGTGCCATGTGGTTTATGCGCCAGTGTAGCGTTACAGAGCACCGCGACTTGGCGGTCTGTGTGCGGGCGTCTACTTGTGTGGCGGGATTTAGCGTCAGACGGCTGACTGAGTCTTGTCCTGCCGCTGCTCGTGCTCGTGCTCCTGCGAATATCGCTGGTACTGCTCTCCCAGCAGAGGCTGCCTGGCCTCCTGGTTGCTGTACGCCCGGGCCCGCACGACACACGTGGTGACCGTGAAGAGGACGGCCACGGCAACGAGGGCCGCCACCACAGCCATGGTGATGATCTCCGTGGTGGTAAATGCTTGAGCTGTGGGAAAGTGCCACACACCCACTGCGTCAGATTCAACAACAGTACGCTACTGTACGTAGCATCTCCAAAATCCTGAGCACACTAGGATATTTAATAAAACATAATAAAATACATAGAAAACCTACAAGAATCCTCTGTGTATGCCTACTCCACAGGCTTCAGTTACCATATTTTTTGTCTTATCCTCCCTGAAAAATTATTGTTCTAAATCCATTTAGCAATTCTTTCCTGTACAGTAAAATCCCGTTATAGTGGACTCGCTTAAAATGAAATATCGTCTATAACGGACGAGATCTGCTGGTCCCGGCCGTGTGCCTTTACGAACATGCAGAAAAAGCATCGGATATAGCGGACTCGCATATAACGGAATTTTGCTTATAACAGACAAACAATGTGGTCCCCAGGGCCGCTTTTAGCTGTAGTTTTGTTCGGCTATAACGGACATGCAGCTCCGCCTACAAGCCACGTGGCGTGCCGGTGATATCCAGCGCAGATACGTAGTCGGGATTATTAATAGTTATGCATCTGGTCAGGTAAAGTTGGATTACTACATGTACAATATAATAATCTATACCACAAGTGTGTCTGCTGGGGTGTGGCATGAGTAAATGGTGTCCTGTAGTTGTGTTCTGGGCAAACAGCAACTCTGGACATAACAGACTTTTGATATAACAGACTGTTTTGTCAGGTCCCTTGAAGTCCGTTATAATGGGATTTTACTGTATTTCCTGAGAACTGAGCTCTCCTAACGGTCAAATCGTAGTAATTGCCCCAGGTCTGCTCTTTGTGATTTTTAATTAAATGAGAACTCATCTCTGGTGGATTTTGTTGTTAACCAAGGTAAAGCTACATAAGTACATGTAATCTGTTGTCATTCATTTTGTTTTGTAAATACAGATGCTCCTAGCTTTACGATGGTTCGACTTATAATGTTTCAACTTTACGATGATGCGATAGCAATGCACATTCAGCAGCCAAATTTGAAGTCTGATCTTCTCCCGGACTAGCGATACGGTGTAAGATAAATTCTACTGACGTCGGTCGATGGCAGTATAGATCTACCTTGTCACGGTTCTAATCTCTATAATGATCACGAGAGTAAACATCTCATACAAGTACAGTGTTTAACAACGTATCTTACGGTGTTTTTTTCTGTGTATAACCAGATAAACTTGTATACATTTACTTTTCGATTACTGGTATTTAGTTACAGCAATTATTTGCTTAGTTACTCATTTACAGTACAATATTTTTCATTTGCGGCGAGTTCATCGGAATATAACCCCGTTGTAAGTCTAGGAGCACAAATAATGTCACTAGTTTGGTGACGTCAGCAGGAGGCTTCTGGTGACACTGACCTGGCCACTCCGCCTCGTAGCTATAGCCCAGGCTTTCTGGGGCAGACACAAACATCTCCACGTTAGTCACCGGTGGCCAGAAAGGCACCATGTTGAACTGCCGGTTGTGCCCAATGGGAGTGTTTTCCAGAGGATAAGAGGACAAATCTGTTAAAATAAAGATTTTTAGGTGAGTCATGTGCACCCTTGGTTTGCAGGGGTCTTATTAAATAAGATCATCACTCATTAGGAACCAAAATGGTTCCCTGGGAGACGGAACAGTTGACCTGGATTGTTTTACAGCAGTGTTTCTCAACCCAGTCTTCGGGGACCCCCAAACAGTGTACATTTTTGCTCCCTCCCAGCTCCCAGCCAATCAAGAACACAGAATATCTCGTATAGACTGGGCTGGGAAACACTGTTTTAGAAAACTCTGTAGAAATGGCTGAATTCATCAGCAATAACAATATAATGAAGTTTTCCATTGAGTTTCTCTTTTCGTTTCCATGGCTCCTTTCAAAGTCGGAATAATCAGAATGATTCTGGAAAACCGACAGGATGTTTTGGAGCCCACTGTATCGCTAATCTCTTGCCAAATGCCTGCTTGCAAATAATACAAAGGACCTCTACATGCCAAATTACAGCATCAGCATAAGCATTTCTGATCCTCAACCTCATGGCATTTTATTCTGATGGGGGGGGGGGGAGACAGGTGGTCCCCGGTACATTTATTTGACCTGCTTTCAAAGGTTGAAATTAACATGATAAGATTTACCGGGCCGGTGCCGCCTCAGCCACTCGTCAAAGATGGCGTCAGTGAAAGTGTGGAGCAGGACAAAGATGGGGTCATTGGGAGACAGGTGGGTCTGCCCCCCCGTCCCGTTTAGGAACAGGTGAGCCAGATTGTGCAGGCTCCGTATTACTGGGTCATAGTTCCCTTGTGGAGCACTGTAGCCTGCACAGATGGAGACAAGTGGTTGATGGTAAAGAGATACTACTAAAAGCAGGGTACTGTCTGAAGCATTTGTTGTGCTAGTGGGAGTTTTACTTACTCAAAATGTTCAGAAGGAAAAGGAAAAATGATTGGTTCAGAGAGACAACCAATCAGATTGTAGAGGAGATAGCTCCAAGCAACTAGAGGAATTGTCTTGGTCCTGCCTCCTCTAGTTGCTTGGACCCACGTCCTTTACAATCTGATTGGTTGTCTCTCTGAACCAATCATTTTTCCTTCTGCCCTCAGAACATTTTTGTGCAAGTAAAACTCCCATGAGCATATTTTGCATGCCTTGCCCTGCCCTCTAGTGGCCTGAAGGAGAAAGCACAGGTAAAGGGGAGCAATAAACCCTAGACTGGTCACCCTCGATGGTGTTGCGGAAGCTCTCCGAGGATGTGGAATAGAAGGGGGGCGTGTCGAAGGCGTTGAGCTCCAAGCAGTTGGCCACGTCTTGCGGCTCAGGCAGCTTCTGCACCATGGGGCGGGCCACATTCCCTGCGGGGTTCCTCCTGATGGGGCTGCTCTCCGTGCCTGGGGGCGTAAGTACATGAGACAC